TCTTTTCGGCCCCCCTCTCTCTCTATGTTTCAGTATAACCCTTGCATCCATCTCTCCGTTTCACGACATCTGTTTAACCTTTCGCTTATACCATTCCTTCATACTCTGCCTCAGCCTGTTGCTTCCCAATAAGTGAGATCGGAAAGTCCAGCTGTGCTATTAGGTCACAGAATGAGGTATAAATGGCGAGGCGCGCTTAAGAAGTACACGATTATGTAAACACTCGTGCATTTTTGTTTTTGCATTAACACACATGCTAAATATCCATGACCCTAATATATTGTAAATGTTTATGTAAACAGAAACGCACTTGTGAATTGAAGTACGGTGTTAGTGAAGAGAATAATTATAGATCAAAAACATAGAATAGTCCTATCCTACTCATGTTATACACCGTCAACTTATACCCCCTCTTATCTGATCTCAATATGGCGGCGGGGACTTTCCGATATGGCTTATTCCAACTCACCTCAATACCTGCATACTATGTCATCCTACCATCAATCCGCACTCCTCCTTCCAGCCTCTCATTTTCGCCTCTGTACACATATAACAGACATACATGGACGGACATACAGACGGACGGAGAGAGGGATGGACGGACACACAGACGGACGGAGAGAGGGATGGACGGACACACAGACGGACGGAGAGAGGGATGGACGACAGCGCACCTGCAACTCTGTTGACAGCTTCGTGCGCAGACTGGTTTCGACCGGTTTCTCCATGGAGCGTGAGTAGTTAGCGGTGGCGACGACTGCGGTGGAGGTCACCGAGGTCGGAATACGAAGTCTCGGTAGCAGAGCGACTGCAACCATGCACCAAGCGAGCGTATAACGTCGTCGAGGGTCGTAATTAAGAAACGAGCTGCTATGTTTGCTGACGCATGGATGCATGCGAGGATACGTGTGACGTTTGGATATGTGTGAGGATACGTGTGACGTTTGGATATGTGTGAGGATACGTGTGATGCGCGGATGTGTGAGGATACGTGTGTGGATAATGGCTAGCATGTGGACAAGTGGTGTAAGTATCTGGTGTCGCTGATCAAGAAGGATAGTTTGGGACCCCTCAATATGTTTTCTCATATGTGCTACACTAATCTGGGGTGCTAATCTAGGCTTGGGCTTTTTAACACTTATTTATCTACATGGACATCTCACCTATCTTTTTGAACACTTTCAACAACTTTACACGATGTATTTGTCCTTTTATTCCACAAAGTAAGCACTACTGTCATTTCATTGAAACGAAGTGCGTGCGCACCGCGTGACGTTAACGATAGGTACGCAAAACACATGCAGCTATGTGCCATGTATTATTCCGGGTGAGGGGTGAAGCTCCGCTGATTTGCCTTGCAACAGGAGAAGCGGCACATCAGCAGCGAGTTAACCCCATCACCCCCAGGTGAATAATACCTCAACCATAGTGCCATGTGTTTTGCGTACAATCCGTAACCTCATCGTGCGCACCCACTTCGTTCAAAATGAAAGTGACCGTAGCTGACTACTTTGTGAAAAAATGTCAAATACATCGTGTTAAAGTTGTTGAAAGTGTCAAAAAGAAGGTGAGACTGTCCAGTAGGACAATATAAGTAAAAAGTGTATTAAGATGTAATGTAAATATAAGTAAATATAAGTTGTTAAAGTGTATTGTAAAAATAAGTAATAAGTGTTAAGAAAGCCCATAACTTTCGTTTTAGCGCTCCATTTTCAGGGGACAGTGTAACAGGTCGTAGTGTATTCCAGCCGACAATGATAAGCTAGCCCTGAGCGCAGTTAATCGAACGGGGCTATAGTAGCTAAGGCTAGGTAAAGTCATGTACGAAGGGAACGGGTAGTTATTCGCGCCAATAGCGGCGTACGGCCAGCATTCGCAGCGCATGCATTTGCATGCGATCTGCACGAAAATTTCAAGGAACCGCCGTTCGTCGCCAAATAACCTCACCAAAATAAACAAGTGCCGCAGAGGCGACAGCGCTGCATTCTAACGTCTACTGCGGTGAACTCTGTGGTGAGTGTGGAATTCCAGTAAACCCTGTTAGTCGCAAAAGGTGTCACATACACGCCGAAAACAGTGAATGCAGCAGGGAGGATAAGCAACCTTCTCAAAGGAATGTTCGTGGATCGTATAAAAGTGCCACGAGAGGCAGCGTAACGTTAAGTGTGCTTCAAGATTAAAGAGGAAGCCCCATCATACCTAGTAGGCAAACAACTATGCAGACAGAATAGGTAAGCACCATCCATTTACCTAGCCGCAACCTACAGGCTGCAATAGAGAGCTGCCCTTAACCATATCAACGCAGAGCAAAAAACACACAGTATCAACCAACGACATGCACCTGGCAGTAGCCACGGCAGTGGCATACGTACATGAAACTACTGACAGTACAGAAGCCATAGAAATATCCGATTACAGGAGCAGAAACCTCTTTTACCAAATTTAGCTTGCAAATTTCCACTGTGACATGTAGCCTCATACATCCAGTCATGTAAGATTCTACCTAGCAAACGCCGGCAAGTCAAATCCTTTCTACACAGTCAACAAATCCATGTTAACCCTCCCTTGAGGGCAAAGGTTATCTGACACTACCTCGCGATGTTCAGCAGAAAGTAGATTTCATGGTCTTTCAAAATCCAATAAAAATGGCAGTCAGCCGCTGAACAAACAAAGTTTTCAACGCTCCAGTCAGACCATGTCCTCGAGCAAAATGTCTAAATCTGCCCTGTGCCCATTGACCTTTACGCTGTGAACCTTCATTTTCGGCACAGTGATGCTTTCCTAACCAAGATGCTAAGACACCGAACTACCACACCTGGTCGAGCCGTTTAATTGTGCGCGGCAATTGCTGCATTGCCTCCCTATACACCTAAGTACAGGAGTGAATGTCCCGCTTCGTTTACAACCTCTTGACCTTTGACCTTGTGACCCCGACTATCGCAGCCAACTCGTTCGATACCCCCCACGCCCGAATAACGTGACCGTAGTCAACGTTAAGATTGTGCCCAAACTGTTGACCGGGGACGGACGCTCGACGACGGACGACGAGGTACGGACGGACGACAGGACCGGAACCGACGGACGATCATGCGATTCACAAGCGGCATCGCTGACTAATGTCAGATGAGCAAAAAAGTAACATGGACAGAAAGTCATTCGGTCGAGAACCATACATAAAACACTCCACAGGCACTTGAAGCGGTTTCAATAAAAATAAGCAACTAAATACGAATGTTTCTATACCTATACTAGCCCTACCTCCTTCAACTATCGCGCAATAGTTCCTGTAAATTCCGTCCAAATCACGTCCAAGCGTACGCTGCGATGCCACTGCTCCGGCGCGCGACTGTGCAGCGCTTAACATTATATAATATACAGGTAGGAAAGCCGGATGCGAAATTTGCCGACTCTCGCTGATTCACGACTTCACCAAGCACAAATACACACAAACAGATTCCGTCTTTGTTTCTCTTCAACAACAGTGTCACTGTATACAAAACATAATGTCTCGTTCGTACCCACTGTGTCACGGCGAAATCACACAAAAGACTGACAAAAATGTCTCGCGTTCGCGAACGTTGCGCGTTCATTTAAAGCTGCAAGTACATGGCTATAGGCGGCGCATTGCATTTGGGAAGCACCGACGCTGCTTTTCCACCTCCCGTACGAGCCTGCGCCATTGAATGCGTTGCAAAAAACCGTTGCCAGCGTTCGGGCGGCGCACGAATGACCAATAGCGCCGCTGGAGGAGGGCGTTTCCTGATCCGGCAGACATTTACATTCGACCGCCAACGTTACGAACGCGAATTTCGCCAGGGTTTTTGTGGTTCGCGTACAGACTCATACGAACAGCGAAAGTCTGTATTTCCACAAGTGAACCTGCTGCCGAAATAAACACAAGATGGAGTAGAATGTATTGTCTTTGTGCTGTTAATCGTGGAAATTCACCGAGGTGTCGAGCGGATGGAGTCGAGCGCTTTTTCCTACCTGCGATATAAATATTAACACCAACAGTCCACTGTGCAAGTGAGCAATAGGGGGGCGGCGTTAGTGTGGTTTGCATAGAGCATCACACGGAATTGACAGGAAACTTCGGTCAATAATAAGGTGAAAGAAACATATGTCATTAGAATTTAAGTAACGAGTATTAGATTTTCGACTTTATTTAGCAAATTATATTTTATGAAACGTTCAAGGTGCGCTGTATCATGGCGACTGCTAGAATACATAGGTAACCCAAACCAAGAAGGATAGGGTACAAAGCCTCGCCTACTCCTTTTGTGCGAGGACAAGCCCGCGTGAATCACTCGGCCCGGTTTGCTGGGTTGCGTTTTTCAGAGACTTAGAAACCCAAACTGCGGTTAGTCCAACACGAACCTTCTCCGCTATCTGGGAAATACAGTATCGCAATACCTGTATTAAACGAAATAACGGCTGGTACAAAAAGTCGAAGTACAGCGCAATAGACTGAGCGCCAGTCTGTGACGCTGTGAGCGTACTTCGTTGCAAGAGCGGATTTACGCGACCAATCGAGGGCGCTGTGTTTGCCAGATCGCTATGGCGGCATTGGGAAATGCCGTATCGCTCACAGGTCAACAGAAATGGCGCCTCATATCGCCGCTCGCACTGTCGATTTGTGTAACCATTAAATCTATTAATACGAGTATTGCGCATACATAGTAAAGTTCCTGAAGCGGAGAAAGGTTCGTGTTGAGATAAACGCCATTGGAAGTTCTAGTCTTGAAAACCACTACAGTCAAACACGGTCGCGAGTGATCACTCGGCATTCCTCCGCACAAAAGGATCAGGGAGGCTTGTAACGCCTAATCGCCTTCGGGTTGGGTACATTATTGTATCTATGGCGACTGCCTGCCATGCACTGCAACTGGCACTGCGGCTCAAGAGTCCAATGGCCGCGTGTGGTCGTAGCTGCAGTGCGGACTGGTCTTAGCTGCCAGTGAAATAGAAATTTGAGATACCTGTAAATCCTTTCAAAACTATTATAATTATTAAGGCACCGACAACGCATGTAGTTTCTACATCACATCAGAACGTCACGTCACGCGATTCGCCATTTGATAATGAGCTGGTCCCGGCCACCTAGTGACTCGCATCTACAGGCTTGAATATGTTTGCCATCGCCATCCGAATGCCGTGAACGTCAGTGTACGTCACGCACCGAACGCGCAAACCTCAACCTAGACCCTAACCCTAACCCTAAGCCCTAACCCTAACCCAACACAAGACTAAACACAACACTAACACAAAATAGTAAATGATACAAGATAGAAAAATAGAAAAATAAAAACAATAAACAGATGGATTCGAACCCACCACTCAAGAAGAAACGTCCGGCGCCATAATGCCCTGCGGCATTTGGTTGCTCGAAATGATGTGTATGGATTGCCCCTATAAGCATACGATCGGAGGCGTGCGTGATTGTAGGTGTTGCCTAGCCACTGACGTACACCTGACGTACACCTGACGTCACGCGAACATACAGATGGCATGAAACATATATCCACCGCACAGGAATGTGAAATCTCATTGACGTCATAACATGCCGTTACTTTATGTGGCGCCATATCTGTTATGTACATTGTTTGGACGCAGACGAGGATTCGAGCGAAGAGAGACGTAAGACGGTAGAGTTTTGCTGTGCAATAAACTCAACAACAGGAAGAAATGCACCATCGAAATACGTCCAACTCCAAGTCTGCCTGCGATCATTTGTGAAAGGTAGGCTCTATTGTAATAATATGACCGAATTTACTCACAAAGAGTTCACGATTAATAACTCGGTAATGTATCAGGGATCTTGACCCCCCGGGTTCAATCTTCAAGTTCAAAGAGGAACAGGGTCCTGACCTAATTACAATGTCATTTTACACAAATAAATATGAATATTTAATCAATAATAAATGGTTAGGGTTAGGGTGAGGTTAGCACATTGGGTTTTATGGGACCCGCATGTTCTCTATCCTGGGCGACCCGGTATACCTGGTACACGTGTACGTATGCTAATAGCCGGACCGTGACCTCGCCTACTCCACTAGACGAGTCTTAGCATCGCCTACGCCTACTCCTAACCCTAGCCCTAACTCTAACCCATAACCCTAATCCTAACCTAACCATACAAATAGCCAGGGACGTTCCGTATACCGGATCGTAACCACAGGGATTCCGCGGCAAGTACCGGGGACATAGAGCCCTATGAGCACTAGTGTGCGAGCATGGGGCGTCCTATAATCAGCAGACACAGCACTGGAACGTCTCAATAAAAAAATAATGAAATAAACACGAAAATTCCCAAAAGTCTTATGTTCTCTACTCATTTCGGCCTATAATCACCTGTAAATGCCAGTCACTGCAAGTAACATTGCAGTACGCACGACCGCCTCGTCCGCAAAGCAGACGTTATAACCCCTTGTAATGTGAGGGTGGCGGGTTTATCGTCTGCCAGCACCCTTGTAAAATTGTTGCAATTTTGGTGTGGTCCATTGGATACGTGAACGAGTAGCACTTGAGGGCATGACGGGTATATCCGATAATCCGACCCAAAAATACAATACAGACCTTCCGTTTGTCATATCTCTTCCGAAGACTTCTCTCCATTGTCACGAACTTTGTTTTCATAGCAATACATCGTCAATGGAGTCAAGTAACTTCGAATACTTTCGGCCATAATCGAGTCAGATTTTTCGATCGACCATGAAATTCCCTTCCGGTAGCCTCGGTTCACTCGGACATATAATCGAAAAAAATAGATGCGGGCAGACTACCTACAATGTTTCCTGGTTGAACATCGGAATAGCCGAAGTAACCGGACGTGATTTCATTGGTTGACAATGAAGAGACAGAACTTGTTGGATTTTTATATTTACCATTACGTTAACAACTGATATATTCGTATTTGGGCTGCACGAGGACATCATAGCGTCAGGAGTAGATAATAGGGAAGCGAGTGTGACATCAATAAACAAGGCGAACTTTCGTCATTACTAGCCTTAAAATACCTACGATTACTACGCGTCAACGGCAACCAACTTGAGCCCCAGATCGTACACAGTAACATCCACGCCGTAGCATCGTGCAAAATCGTTTCCTCCTTATACACCCAGCAATCCGGAGAATACAGACTAAAACGTACGATCACGATTTTCCATTCTGTGCAGTTCAAATCGATGCGTTTGGGAAAGTCCACTTGAAACAAAGGCAGCTCTAACGCCTCGGCGAATGCGGCTTGACTCGCTGGAGATGGACATCGACGGCAACACTCGGCGGAGATAACCTTTGACCCGGCAAACCACGCATACAGCTGGTTTGCTGTGCTCCCGCACCCGAGCAGCGCACCCGCAATCACAGCATATCTCCCAGCGAGCCACACCGCATCGCCGAGCGTAGTAGCTGCCTTTGTTTGCAATGACTTCCCAATCGCATCGATTGGCTGCCAACAGAAGGAAAGATCGTTCGTAGCGTTGTAGTCTGTATCCCGGATGTGCGGGTGTATACGCGGAAGGATTTCGGCCACAAGTAGGCGCGATGTACTGTGTAGATTTGAGCTCAAGTTGGTATGTTACGCATGAGTAAATCGTAGGTATATTAAGGCTAGTAAATGAAACAAATTTCGCGCTTGTTTATGATGCACACTCCTTCCCTATTACTACTACTGATAGCACTGCTATGCACGTAGATAAATATTCAAGTTCAGATTAAAGTAAGTGTCCACCAATGATTGTATACTATCGGTCGCAATATTAATTATAAGTGCCACCTCAAACTGGAGTGCTTCCGTATTGAGATAAGACGGCGGCCGCAACCCCATTATCGGGTCTGCGTCGGTCGGACTTAGCCCGCGCTGTGCACAAAACACAGATAAAGTAAGAGAGGTGCACGTAGGAAGCGTGCTCGTGAAATTGCTCGACGCTCGGCTTTAGTTCACACGCTTCACAGCAAAATACACATCTTAACAGCTTTTCCATCTTGGTATCGCGCATGTGTACACGAAATGTTCAATTGTTGAATGATAATCCTGGCTTTGTTCTTACCTACTCCCGCCAAGAATATCTGCGTGAAATCTGCGCACAAAACTGTTCGCCTCGTGAAAATCGTAAAAAGGACGAGATGTCTGTTCTATACCGATATGGGCGCATTGCATGCCGGGATGAGGCTGCTGCGCCTCCATAGCTCCATTTCGAGGCCCGCCAAGCCAAACACCAGCGTGCGGGACATCGACGTCACGAATCACACGACGACTACAGCGATCGATCGAAGAGCGGCCGTAGGATTTTTAGCTCATCTGACATAGTCCAGATGCAGCTTGTAAACGCATTGTACGTGCCGCGTGCGTCCGCGGACCGTGCAACAGTTGGCCAAATCTTACCGCTCGAATCGTACGGTCAGATCTTCGGCACATCGGGGGGGATCGTCAAAAAAGTTGGATGTAAGCTAAGGGGTCAAAGGTCAAGAGGTGTAAAAGAATGGGCAACATTCACTCGCTTAACTAAGTATAAGGAGGAAATGCAGAAGTTGCGGCACAAATCTACGGCTCGCCAGCTTGTGAACATTGGTGTATAGCCATCATGGAAGGAAAAGCATCACTGGTGGCAAAAATTGGGAGTATAGGTCAAAGGTCACATGGGCACAGGCAGGATTTTAGACATTTTCGAGGACATGGTCTGACGTGAGGCGAATTGAAATAACTTTTGTTTCAGCGTGACCTACCATTTTTATGGCTT